TCAAAGATATGGCATCGTTTCTAAAACTTATAGTAAAACATTACAACTGGGGAAGAGTTACTTTTGTCAGTGGTCGACAAGAGGTGTGGCAAGAATCTGTATCAGCTTTTGTAGTAAGTAACTTTCTCCTTGGAGAAGGCTGTAGCTCATTCTAGTTGAGTGCTTCGAATGTCATGACGTCATTCAACGCCAAGAACATAGTGAAATGGTGCTTTTGAGTTTTTGATCTCGATACAGATACGGGGTGTCAATATATCGTATATGAATAACTATGTCATTTGTTCCTCATTATATCGCTGATACGATATAGATTGGTATATCGTGTCCAAACCACAGACCCATTTATCATAAGACTATGTCAAACCCCGTATTCGGGATACGATGAGATGGGTAGCCTACAGATATTCTGAAGTTTTGCCAAGAGGTTGTATCAAAACTACGTACTGTATACAGTACACAAATGGAAACCTTCTTATTCCATCTGAGACACCATGCACCACATTACTTTGGGCAGCATTCAGAGGACAATGCAATAAATAAAACAAATAGTAACGACCGTAATGCGAGGCCCGAAATTCAAGCAACATATTACTAAAACATTGGTAGCTACTTTTCACATGAGGAAATATAATTTCTTTTTTCCATTTCAAAGCTTGATCGTTGTAGGAATTTTTTGAAGACCTAACACTGACAGTTCGGAAAATGGTCATCCGAAGAATTCCGTTTTCTAATTTAACTGAAAGAGTTTCCATGGAAGCCGCCACAACCAGAGGTATGTTAGAGATAGCTGTCAAGATATACCCTGTTAATATACAGATTTCAAATTGGTGTTATCTAAATACCAGCTGAAATGTCGAGGTTGTTTAAATTGTAATCTGTAGTTGAATGGAGTGCTTTGTGACGCGACTTTCATTCAAAACACCACAGCGTTGATTATAGTAAAGTGTCTCTCACGAGGAACGTCCACATTGATCGAGACTCAATTGGATCAAAAAGGGAGCTATTTGGGAATTTTAGGTTGTAACATTCCAGTTAAGTAATGTTACGAAAGCACAGGCACAAGCATGCAGGCATTTTTTAGGGCTTTTCGGGACGATAATCGGGCCGATCAAAAAATATATTCATGGGGGATAATCCTGTCCAATCCTTCGTGAAATGCACCACTTCCTGACAGTTAAAAGTTCCATTTTTTTTGTAAATTACACTGATATTTGAATATAATACCTGTTTTTCTATTTCCAGTGTTTATCCTGTGTGCTTACGGAGATGATATTATACAGTTTATGAAAGCGGTGAACGTGTTAAAATTAAATAATGGAGAATATGCCTTGATAACTTTAAACTATTTAGACATGGCCCAGAAAATGAACGTTTTCTCATCTGAGCTTGATCTCCACACTTTTGACGGTAACGTTTTTGTTTTATTTTCGACATCAATCGACCATACCTGTTCCTCGGACGTTTTATATAAGATATTAGTCTTCACGTTTTGCTGTCCGGGGAACAGGTAGTTTCATCTTTTGTCGAGGCTTCATCAACTCAGGGAGAAGGTCGACCTCTCATGTCGAGATCAACTGCCAGAACTACCATGAACAGGGTGATGAAAATTTCAGATCGCTCGTGTCGACCACTTAATGTCATCTTCCTTTTGGTGGAAAGTAGAACAAGAGCAAATGGACGATAATTGGTTGATCTGCTTCTCCCCATCTTCACAATGATCCAGATGAACTTCGTCTTATACCCTGACTGCAATATCCACCTTTCTTGTATCGCGGAAGATTGTAAATGCAGCGATTATGTAAGATAATAAGCTTTTTTTGGTACTGTATATTTGCGAATATAATACGCAAGCGTGTATAGTACGTACCCAAGTGAATGCTCCAATCAAACTGAAACAAATTTCTCTCCTAACATGACCTCATGGGGACCGAATCCTCTCAAATTCAATTTATTGATTTAATTGTAGGGTTACTAGATATCACAGTGGACGTTAAACCAAATGAAGCACCGTATTTAGAATTCTTGGAATATGTGCGATCCAGAGATGATGGTTCACATGGGTACAAGTCGTCATATGTGGTACGTATTGAACAGAAATTAAATATCTGTGTGAGTGTTACATGGAGTTCCAACTGCATCTGAGTTCTGCAACTGTTTTCGTTTCCAGTTGAATGCATACGGGATTACCTTGTCAAATTAACTGGCATGCAGATGAACACATCTGTGATCAGAATGAAGCTTAATTTTGCATACAGTGACAGATCAAAATGAAATGTAAAATGAAAAGGTCCACCGTGAAAGTTCTGATCTGGTACTCTGTACGGAAACAGTAGAGAGTTGACGAATATTAGCTAGTGAAAGAATAACATCTAATGGTACTTCTCTTTGGAGGAGTCCACTACTATACAACTTTTACTCTTGATTTTGTCATACTTTGGACCAGATTTTGATTTGAAGATTGAATAGTCTTGCATGTACAGAGTTTTATCCATAAACGAAAGGTAGTTGTCAACATAGAATCAGTAGAATTGAGTCTCCCAGACATTGTTTAAATATTTTACTTTCGTTTTAGCACTCCCTACACGCTGCCCTATTAGCTGATGCTATATTGGTGTATGCTGTTGCAGTAAATGCTACTATAGCCCATGATGGTGCCCCTCATAACGGACTGGAGGTGGCTAAATATCTTTACGGTCGACAGATACAAGGTAGCATTAAACGATCTCTCTTTATAATCGATCAATCGTTGGCTCGCATGAGATGAAATGGATATTTACACCCTACTGATCGTCACCCTAAAGCTGCAAATAATCGAGATACAATGTCCAATATCGAGTTGAAAATAGAATTTAGAGAGCAAATGAGGTACGGGTTTCGATACGATGCGGACACGATTAGCTTCTCCAGTTTCTACTCTTATCAATAACCCCGCACCGTACACCGCATCTAACGTTGTACCTCGCCCATTCGCCCCTTCATTGAGCTAATATATCTGAATGTCCAGAAGAGAGATCGAGGAGGGAATTAGACAACAGTGCCATTGCGGGATGTTTCAATCTTGTTTCCTGGATGGTCTGGGTGTTTCAGTCCCAATCCATTTAGTCAATGGTCCAAACCTGAGAACACGTCGAATGTTGAATCTATAGACAATAGATTTACTAAGCATGCTTTGGTCTAAATCCGGACCGCCACGGCGCTTGGAACGGAAAGAGATGTACTTTTCCCAAAATTAATACAATATCTGATATCTATTACAGGTATTTCAGGAGAAATTGATATTTTACCTGACGGAAGTAGAAATACAGCATTTCTGTTGCATAATATTCAAAATTTAAGTTATAATATTATAGCCACGAGTAACCTGAGGTATGGAACATTTTTTGATTTTTTGCATTTATTTTATGACATTCGTGAAATTCTATCGTTGATTCTTAAAGAATTTAATTGTTTGAAAATGATATTTTGTGTTTAGATTTGTTAGTACTTGGGTTTGTTGATTTATCACTGCACTATATTCATTAGTGATTATCAATCTGTCGTAAGGATAATGAGATCTGAAGAACTCGTCAAACAGAAGAATATATCATGTGTCACCGAATCAGACTCTTCTACTCACTATGAAATCTGCATTTCAGAGCCGATAAACTGATATTCATGCCAAACGCTTCTATACAATGGCCCGGCGGGTCATTTATACCCCCCACTGGTTATCCAAAATGTGGCTGGGAGGAGGATTTGTGTGAAACGTCAGATAGTAAGTTAATTCCATACAAAATACTACTCCATACATAAACTTAAAGCCACGCCCCTATTAAAGAGAACTTTATCGAAACGCTGTATCAACATCAGGATACATTACAATAAATACTTAATGATACTATATTATGCCCCTGTCCTGGCAAAATTTCCCTCATTGCACATTGCATGGCGTTATCTGAGATAAGTTGCAGAATAATGGAAGTTAAACCCTCAATTCATTTCATTATGTTCTACTATTCAGGGTTATATATTGGTATTGGTATCGGACTATCACTGATTGCTGTATTTGTTTCTATAATCATTATTCTCATTAGACGCAGGTAGGTAGGATGGCATATCTTCATCAATCTGGGTTCTCTTAACTCTGGAATATATACTGTTATTTGGCTAGCTTTTTAATAAAAGATTAAAATGATGTATGTAGCCAGTATATTCGGCTGGGAATGTTCACTCTTCCAAAACACCCGAGGTCACTCTCTGACTGGGTTCGTCAACTCAGCATCCATTTCATCGCTTCATAATCTATATTTATTTTTGTTTATTTTAATTAGTTAGTGGCTCGGCTACCATAGGACCCAAACCTTTAAGAGGGCTCCCAACCCTAGAATAAATATATTAACAGGCATCTGATTAGTATGAACATTGGCTTCTATTTGCACCATTCGGATTTCTCGACTGTTGTTCATGTAATTAAAAAACAACTACTATTTTATGACACCAGTTTTACGATTACCATTAAAGCCAACAGGAAGTTCAACTCGGTGCATCCTAAAGAAGATATTATATTGTGTTGAGCGAATAAAAAGGCTTTTCTTTGTTTGATTTTACAGACAAAAAGCTGAACAAGACAGATTAAACAGTATGGATTGGAAAATTCCATTCGATAAATTGCAGGTTAACGAGAATCGAAATCATATAGCGTCCAAAACAAGTCTTAAAAGTAATGTTAGTACGATAATTCTTTGTTTCAACAAACTGAATACTTCATGACCTTTCCCTCCCTCCCCTAAGGCCCAACAATACAATCTTGTGGTTGAAATATGCTTTATATAATTGACAAATGACCCCCCCCCCCTCCTCCCCTCCTACATTATTATATAATTTTGGCGATGGCCCCCTCTAATCTTTAGTTCTTTTTCAATCTAAAACTCTAAATATTGCTATATTTCCTATTTATTTTACTGCAGCATCATTTTGGTTCCACACTATCCACTGGTACTCAGAATCTCTCAATTACGGGCCAGATTTTTGCCACAGTAGCTATGTTAGATGGTCAATTAGTCGCTATAAAACCAGTACAGAAACGTAGTTTAACAGTCACAGCAGAAGTAGTCCTAGAACTTAACTGGGTAATATTATATTTCTAACAAAAATATATTTTCCCTTGATCAATACTTTTGACTACTGAGCACACTTGCTCATATGAAAAAAAAGCGTCTAGTCGTTCGGTTTGGACAATAAATCGAGGCCCCGTTTGTTACTGGGTGAGCTCGTGGAACAACAATCACTGGATTTGAGGAAATTGTACATGAAATGAAATGAATTTTTGGATTTCCAACTGTCGAGAGGTCTGGGTTTATTGTCCCATCCGAGCAACTAGATGTTTTTTCCATGCCAGTACCTCTTATCTGCATCAATGACAAGGAGAAACCGGGTTAGGAAATTGAAAAAGAGTAAACTAATTGGCCTCATAGCATACCACATGGCGTTTCATATATTTATAAACCCAAAAAGAAGAAAAGAATAACACAAAACTTAAATCATTTCATTCAATTGTTTTATTGAGCATAATTGCCAATATCCTGCTGTTAAATCAAAAAAGGTTAAACAGTTTGACGAGTTATTAAGGTTGCTTTATTATTTGAAATTTCCTGAGTATTAACGTCCATTGATCTACATCGACCTGTATTTATAGAGTCAATACAAAATCGATATGCTCTAGCTGGTTCAGACACAATTACAAGTTGAACATAGCATCGTATACTTGTATTTTCTGGCAAAGGCTGGAAAGAGATATGCAATAGCTCGATTTAGGGGTGTACCAAGCATTTAAAGAAGCACCGTAGTAACAGGAAAGCAAAGGTGGGGGGGGGGGGGGCATCAGAAAAAAATTCGGACAACCGACCAAGTCTAACTAAACACTGCAACTAAACACCATAAACCATTGCGTTTGGATATATTACTACCCTCCGAACATCAAGTCTGACTACTGGTCTGTTGAAAGACAAAATGCATGAACGGACAAAAAGTCATTATAACAATCAACTGCATATTATCGGAATTTAGATGTATAAAGGCCCTCAACTTATTTTTCAGATTCGTAGTTTGAAATTTAAAGCAATAAATCCACTAATCGGAGCTTGTGTAGATCCTGGTAAGATCTGTTTGATCTGGGCTTATTGTGGTAAAGGAAGTCTAGCTGATGTGGTACAAAATGAAGACATAAAACTTGATTGGATTTTTAAGATTTCGTTCATCACCGATATTGTAAAGGTAATTTGATATATAGTTTTTGGACAACCACATCAACTTAATTGGCGTGTACTTATTAGCGATCCAACTCAAAGAGTACACAGATGGCCACCTTAAATGAATCTTTTTTCACACGGGCTTCAAAATAGCCATCTTCACAATGTCAAGCTAGAACGCACTTCGTCTTATACCTTGACTTTAGCAGCCACATTTCTTGTATCACTGGCCCACAATACAATCAAATAGCTGCATTCAGTGATACAAGAAAGCCTTAGAAAGGTAGCTATTGAAGTCAAGGTATAAGAGGATGTGCGTAATAGGTTGACATTATGAATATGAAATATACCAGACATAATTTATGTAACAAATCGTAATTTAACATTGTGAAATGTGTGATCCTCTATTCTATTTTCAGGGTATGATATACCTACACGATTCACCAGTCCAGTGCCATGGTGGATTAAAATCCTCGAATGTATTAATAGATAACCATTGGAGCTGTAAAATTAGTGACATTCAGACTCCGATATTCCGATCAGGAGAAAAAACATCAATCTTGGGCACACATCAGATTAGCTGCAGTAAGTGACCATTTAAAAATGTGTAACTTCTGGGGGCCTTTTTTATCGTAACCATAGAGCTAAGTAAAATCCAGAAATAAAACACCCCATACTAACGATTCCAACCACAAAACGAATTAATTATTCATAAATGAAAAGTATTTTATCATGAACAATAGTATCAGAAAGAGTAAGCATACCTTGCCTTGCGCCACCTCCGTCATTGCTGCTCGATATTATTCACTCTCTCCATGTGCTCTTGCTATTCGTGGTTAATTAAGGTGAACCTTTTCGACTTTGCAACTTTATAATCTTTTGTACTTGATGGTCTCTTGGTAGTCCACTACAATAAAAATTATATTCTTGATTTTTGCAATGCTTTGGACTGGATTTTGATTAACGAAACTGTCTTGCTTGTACGGATTTTTATTGTAAAATTGCAGGAAAACTGTGGACAGCTCCAGAAGTTCTCAGGAACCCTATAGCATACCACCGTGGTTCCAAGAAAGCAGACGTGTTTGCATTTGGTATTATACTCCAAGAACTAATACTAAGGACGGGTCCCTATGGGCACGATGACATCGAAGCTGAGGGTAAGCAAGCGTGTCACTCATCTTCCAAATGTGATGCTCTTACAAACTGTGTCTAATACCCTGACTGCATTAACCACCTTTCTTGTATCACGGAATGCATCCATTTGATTTGATCGTACGCAAGCGAATATAGCTAGTCAGAGCCATCGACAGAAAGACTGCAAACAAGGTGGCTGCATATGTAATCGAGGTCTCTGATTGATTGGGTTTGCTAGCGTACAATCCAATCAAACTCAATGGTGTTTAACTATGTTCGTGTCTGTTTCTATATGTGGTGAAAGTGCGACTTAGTTTCGTATGTCGTAGATGCTTTCATTTCAGTAAGGCATGCAATCTTTTACGAAATCGCGTTTGTACCAGGCTGCACCAGCTGACAGCGTGGCAGACCTCATATTGCTAATAATGTTTATCTTTTTCAATAGATATCATCGAGAGGGTGCGAGAGTGTGGTGCTCCGCCATATCGTCCAGTGGTTGGAAAAGGTCTTGTTGCTGACTCGATCACAGAGTTGATGAGGTCATGTTGGGAAGAGAATCCAGTTGACAGACCATCTTTTAATCAAGTTGAAGATGTGATTAGAAAAGTGAATAAGGGGAAGTAAGCAGCTACGAATATACGTAATTTATTGTTAAAGAGACCTTACTGCCTGTATATGTACACATGTACCATGTACACATATACCATGTAAACATATACCATGTACATTCTATCATTGCTAGTTATTGGTTAACAAGCTCAACCAACTCAATTCCAAGGAACATGATTACTACTCTACGCTACTCATGATGTCTTGTATGCCTTCAAAGCCTAAACTTTTAATATTATAACATTTTCTTTCAAGAACAACCAACATTATTGATCAGATGGTTCATATGTTATCGAAATACGCCGACCATTTGGAGGAACTGGTGGCTGAAAGGACCAAACAGCTGGAGGATGAACAGAAGAAAACAGACGAACTTCTGTGTCGAATGCTACCAGCGTAAGTAATGGTTTTAAAAGTTACAACACAGTTGAAATTGGGGAAAATCCCAAGATAACTGAAATAAAGGACTTATTTGCTTAAATCAGTTGGAAACCTTTTAAGGCAGCTGATTTTCAATTAGTATATAAACATCGATCCTGATGACCAACGTCTATATAATATAGCTGACAGTTATAAATATTGTTATAAACTTAGTCGACATAGAACGATTTGATATTCTAGGACCATCATTAGGCACTTTTCTTGTTGACAGTTGTACAGTTTAAAATATTGTGAGAGTTGAATGCCTAGTAATATTGAAGTTTCTAGAAGAATTAATAATATATCGTAATTGTACCTTTCAGATCCATAGCCAATGATTTAAAGAAGGGAAAAACAGTGTTACCTGCTTATTTTGATTCTGCCACAGTTTTCTTTAGTGATATTGTAGGTTTTACCAAGCTGGCGGCAGACAGCACTTCTTTCCAGGTTAGTGTTACCCAGTTATTATATTTCATTTCTTTAAACCGGTTATAAACTGGGTATATGTTCAAATAAAATGAAATCAGTTTTCCTCTGCGCCTGTTTGGTCTAATGAGGAATGGCAACGACCTGCAGTAAGCAATGAGGCAAGAATAAGTTGGGACTCTGTGTGCTACAGAACATATAACACGAGAAACACAGGCCAGTCGTTCTACTCCTTCACATAGTTCTTAATCTATATATAAGTGAAGCTCCAGTACCATTTCAAGATCCATCTCGCATGACAATCAAAACTGAATTAAAACAGAATGTTACGCTTTTTGTTCTGGTTTGGAAGATTTATTAATAAATTAGATTTCGTATCGTCTTTTTTTCAGATTGTGGATTTCTTAAATCAACTTTATACCACATTTGATAATGTTATTGATAAATACGATGTATATAAGGTATAGTCCTGCTGTGTTGTTCTGAACAACTGCTCTGTTCTGATGAACCCTGCTAGGTTACTGTTGGATACTGTTGGTTCTGCTCCGATGGACTCTACTAGGCTCTATTGTGTTTTACTGGGTTCAACTTGACTGTGCTTGGCTTTATTGGGCATCGTTGGACTCTGCTGTTATCGCCTTTTTGAACTCTGTTTGGAATTTGTGTGACTCTACTAGACTCTGTAGGTTCTCCTCTGTTTTTTAAGAATTGTTACCATTATAAAAGCCAAATTGATCACAAATTATGGTATTTTATATATTCATAAAGTTCTCTATTCTTTCATCACTATTGGTGACATTTAACTTTGATTTTTGGATAAACCATATGATTAACTTCTTAATTTCTTTCATTTTATCGGGGATTATTGTAGGTAGAAACGATAGGTGATGCCTATATGGTAGCTAGTGGTCTACCCGTACCTAATGGTAATAAACACGCTGGTGAAATAGCCACTATGGCTCTAGACTTATTAACGTCGATTTCTGCTTTTGAAATTGATCATCAACCTCATAAAATACTTCAACTCCGAGTTGGCATGCATTCAGGTAACATTGTTTTTCTCAAAGGAGTAAACCAAGAAGTCACGTTGACTCAGTGAGTTAGACACTCACTGGCTAACCTGAAGGTCCATGGTTCAATCCTTGGCTACAGGCTGTACATGTTAAAGATCCATATAAAACTTATAAAACGAAAATTAGTAGGTTAACGTCGAGGTTCTGACAAAGATTCCCTCATTGCACACTGCATGGCATTGCCCGTCAGCAGGTTTGATTACGAAATGAAATGGGGTTTTACGTCCTACTCTTCTGTATCTGTTAGGCTAATGAGACCCTCCCCCTCCTCCTTTTGGTATCAATTTGGTTGATATTGTTTCAGGGCCGGTAGCAGCAGGAGTGGTGGGGTTAAAGATGCCAAGGTACTGTTTATTTGGTGATACAGTCAACACGGCAAGCAGGATGGAATCTTCAGGTTTAGGTACGGTATCCATGGATTTAAATTTAATAGTAAATGACTGTGGCGGTTGTCAGTGGTGTTTGTATGATTCATAGAGGGAGGTTGGGGGAGGGGGGGGGGGGGGGGGGGTTAAGTCCCTTAA